AAGGGCCTGAATCTATTCAGCCTCCACAAGAGAAGGCTGAGAGGGGATCTGGTGGCAGTTTACAAACTCACCAGGGGGAAAAAGCAGGAATTGGGGGAGGCTCTGTTCGCCCAGGCACCACTGGGGGTTACTAAGAATAATGGCCACAAATTGTTAGAGAGAAGGTTCAGGCTGGACATCAGGAGACATTGCTTTACAGGTAGGGCTGCCAAGCTCTGGAGTGGGCTCCCAAGGGAGGTGGTGCTCTCTCCTACCTTGGGGGTCTTCAAGAGGAGGTGGGACAGATATTTGGCTGGGATGATATGACCCTGACACCTGTTCCTGCCCAGGGCAGGGGGCCTGACCTGGTGAGCTGTTTAGGTCCCTTCCGATCCTAAGCACTATGATACTATGATGGCCTGTGTAGGAATACCATAGCGAGCGGGAAGGGGAAAGGAAGACTAACTCCTGACATAAATACTGCAAAGGGGTCTTCATCACTGTTCCTCTGACAACATTCCCTCCCCATAATCTCTGGATTACATTCTGTTGTGAATTAGCTAGCTGTGTTGTGGCAGACAGTCTGTGTTTGAAGTGGTGCTTCCAACAAAAAGAAGAATTGTTTCACCATAGAACGACTCCAATCTGTTGTACAAGACAACAAGGACAGACGTGTGGAACTGAACTGAGAGATTCTTCCTGTGCTGTGGCCCAAGAAGATAGAAATTCATGAGTGGAGTTTAGTTTTTTTCCACAGATTTTCCCTAGCTTTACTTTCTTTTAACAGATGCTTCCGTTCCTTCTGCTTGTGAAAATAGCTTTTATAGAGTAAGTCAACACATTGCTGTTCTGTTTGCTTTGAAGCTAGACACTGGAGCTTCCTCCTCCTCTCATCTTAGTAGAGCATTACTTCAGAAGGTTGTTATGATTTTTTTTAAATGCTTCATGCATTGCTAAAATCAAGGTCATAGGCTGTATTTGGAGATCCATCACAATTAATGTGACCCAGCAAAGCAATCAGCACTGCAGTTAGTACTTTCACATGTAATAGCCTCTTCCATATCAGCTATCCCATAGCGTCATCCATGCAGTCAGCTGCTTTATCACTATGATTCAATCACAACAGAAGCTAGAGGCAAGCCAGACATAGCAGAAATAACAGACTACCCTGTGCCAGAAGAGATTGTAAAAAAAGAGCTCAAAAGCACAAGCAAAACAAAACAGCAGTGCCTGAATCAACAGTGCAGTTGCAAAAGAATAGTAGGTGGCAGAGTTGTCACCAAAACTGAGTTTGGGTGGAGGAGTCTGCATGCTGTGCAGCCTGGCCTGGCCCTGGCTGTAACAGAGCACAGCAGCATGGGGCACAGCCCTCCCTCCTCAAGCTTCTGGCAGTGGCCAGCAGGCCAGATAGGATCCACTGGTGGGCTGGATACAGACTACGGGCTGTATTTCCCCACCCCGGGTCTAACCTATTAGTAAAAGTATACAAGCAACCCTGACACAACCATAAGAGAAAACCTGCAGGGGAACAATGGTGGTCAATGTCCTGCTGCTATGACAGTTGTTAAAATACTCTCAAGAGGTTCAAGGAAGAAAACCATGACCCTGCTACAAGGAAGGCAGCCCCCTGCTACTCCACAATCTGTATCAATCTGACTGTGGGGTAAAGTTCCTTTCTGACCCCAACTCTATAGTTTATGCAATTCCCCTAGCCTCGATAAAATCTTAGTCACTGGTATAACTCAAGTCCTTAACGTTAAGTATGCATGGTTAGCTGCGGTGCTGGGGCCCTAGTCAGTGCAGGTGAGATCAGATGAGTGATATAAAAGCATGCCTGTGCAAAAGAGAAATTGATGCTGTACTCTTGTCCATATTTTGTTGGGGCAGTCAAAAGAGAATACTTCCACCTTGACAGTCAGAAATTGCAGAGGGCATTGGCATGTGTTGGAAAAGGAAAACAATTAGATGAGAAATAGGGAGAGTAAAATAACTACATGGAAAGCAGGATGTTGGAAACCTCATCAGAAAGAGGCAATTTAATATTGTCTAAAAACAGCTGGCTTGGGAGCAGGAGAGCCTTGAAATACACATTTTGGTGAGGGCAAATTAGAGGGAAAAGACAATCATTCTCACATAGTTTATTGGGCCACCAAAAATGTCCTTAGGCGGCAGCATTACAGCTCCCATAAATGCATTCCAGAATATTGCCTTTTCCACAATGTTATTATTTATTATGCCTATTTATGCAAATATGCTCACTCACAACACCTGCCTGTTCTCTCCCCTTTCACACGTGATGAAGGTCCTAAACCATTTCTTACAGCATATTGGTCTGGCATTCTATTTATTTACCTGATGTGTCCTAAAACCATTGTCAACTAACAAAACTAAGCTGTATTTCACAGTGCTGATGTCGCTGGGGTGCTGTAATTCTCCAGAACTGATCTAAACCTGCTCTCAGCTGTGATGTATAGCTTCCTTCAAGTGTAAGATTACATGAACAGCAAGCAGTGTTTTTCTCCTGCTAACTTACTTGCCATTTAAATACCTGACACCAACACACACCATTTAGTAGCCATCCTGAATTACTGCAGAGAAAAACAATTCCCTCAGTTGTCAGAGAAATGCCATCTTTTTTGCCAAAAGTCAATTTGAGAATAGTCAGAGTTCTCGCTCTCAGGTGTTGGCAGCATTTCTGACCTCATGTTTATCTATCTCATCTAATCCCTCATGCACCAATTACTGAGGTATTGAAGCCTCTTTGTGAAAAGTGAGTCAGTACAGGTGCTGCAAGCTGGTTTCTGGTTTTGGAGCCATATGGCAGATATGTGAGAATAAGGTGAGTGTTTTACAGTGGACACTTAGCAAAATCTTATTTTCAGCCATGCAAACCAGATTGGCTAGGTCAATGACAGTCCTGTAACTCATGGGTATGATGCCATCCCGTGGTGTTAGATTGGCTGATGCATCATATGGAAATAAATAATTCTCAGGATTTATAAAGACTTTTCTGAAACCCTGATCTTTTGGTAGCCATCTCAATATTCTAGTGACAAACCAAATCATACCGATAACAGTTTTTTATTCCCATTGAAGTACAAGGAACTGTGTTCCCTGGGGTGGCAGAAGAAGGAGTAATTATTTCATAGACTCCAAATCAGATGGATGCACCTAGAATTCTGAAATTGCTTCTGAAAGCTGATGTCTAAAGCAAACAACTACACTGTTTATCCTCAAATAACACTAGCTTGACTTCGTGCAACCCACAAGGCTATCCACTTTTTACCTATATAGAGAATACAGGCAAATGTCACTTGTTACCAGAAAGAATTTGCAATAAAATATAGAGCAATATAGAAGCAACATGTTCTCTGTGTGGGCATTAAATATTCCTTTTTATTCTGCTCATTAACCATAACAGTGCATTCATTCAGGATTATCTTATCTTTTCTGAATTATAAATTAAAAAGGCATGCTCAGTGCTCACATACAAAATATTTCTTATAGGAGTGAGAGAGACAAAAAGTATTAATAAATGCCAACCCTCTTCCCAGCTCCAGTGACTGTACTGTACAACATTTAATTACTAGAGAAGCAGCTCTTTATCATTTTTTTTACCCCCTAGGTGAGAGCTACTCTTCTAAGCAGCTTTCTGGCAGATTTTGATTCCTAAGAGGCAGCTATAATTAATATTTCATAGAGGCTCAGTTTAACAGGTGGCATGCTAATCTAGTATGACAACTCTGTGCCCAGGGTCGATAACCCAGTCAAAGTGTTCCACAGATATTGACTAGATCACTTGACTTTTATGACAAGTGGGGAATAAAATACAGTGCTCCACCGTCTAAAGATATCAAGAGTAGTCGGAGTCAGCAACTTTACTTCTTGGCATGCTTGAACAGTTTATATCTCCAGGGATTTTCACCTCCAGGTCTCCTGCCATCATGTGAGTGGGGGATGCTCAGCATATCTGGAAATCAGCCCCTCATCAGACTTCTACCAGCAGGAAAGGGGAAGTTTATTGCTTGGCCCCTTAACTGCTGCAGAAATGCATGTGAATGTTAGCATCAGGTTAACTGAACACCCGTTCAACTCAGCAGAAGGCAAGTGCAAAGCATCTTGTCTGTAACATGCCTGAGAAGTGTGCTCTTCTTGCATAATTTCTTGCCAAATTGCATTTTACTGATTCGAAGGGACATGTTGCTGAAATGTACACATCCCCACAGCAGTAAAGGGATTAAATCAAGTAAGCAATAGGCCAAATATCCCTTCAAGATGCTGCCATTTTGAGTCAGTCACAAAATACTTTACAAATTCCATATTCTTTGGGGAAGCTCATTGCTAGATGATGGTGATTTGTTTTCTTAGAACTAGCTTCAAGCATTTGTGGAGCCAACAGCAGTTGCCTGAAACTCCTAAAAGTGAGGAGGGGAAAGGGCACTCCTTTTAAAAGGGAAAAAGTAGTTTAAATTAAGGCTCCTTCAAAATATTTGGCTCTAGAACTATCTTCAGGCACCACTCCAAATCTAAGTTACAGTGTCTGGCTTGGTGAAGTATGACAAGAATGCTGTTAAAATATTTTATCCAGGATGTGAAGTGTTGGGGCTGGTGCATTAGGGCATGACAGAAGAGTTGGCAGTAAACCAGAAAATCTTCTGATGGAGACACAAAGCTACAAGACCAAGGTCAGCTCAGCTGACTGAAGACTAGGGAGGAATCAACAGAGAGTGGATCCTTGTGTGCCAGACCATATGTAGCACTGATGCCCTGAAAAATCCTGTGCAATAGTACTCGGAATGGAATATTGCATTAATAATGGTGACATGTCTAATACCATGAGACATCAGGCAGGATGATGGCTGAGTGACAACTAAGATGCTCATATTATTTCCAATTTGTCACTTAAAAAAAGAAAGTCCATAGAAAATCAGACGCAAGAAATGACTTTGAGAGCTCACTGTTTCTGACCGGAGCTGATCTGTTATCAGTGCTTGTCTTCTCCTAATTGAAGGTCACCATACTGTCTTCACCTACAGGAAAGCCTATCAAACCATCCTTCATTCTGTCACTGGAAGCATTTGACTCTTACGTGCAGTTCTTGAAAGTTCTCTGTAATTGGTGATCCTGGAATTTCTCATTCCAGCTGATTAAACAGAAACTTGGAAGCTTTATTTTTAACAAAAGAGCTTTGTTTCAGATGCAGCCTGTTCTGAACTAGCTGAAGTTGCTGTTTCTTTTTGGCTGCTGCCCACTGACTGGCTTTCCTCTCTGTGCAGGGTATCTCATGATTTAGTGTCTTTTTGATCAGCGGGGCCCAGATCTGGAAAATGTGCCTGTTAACCTGGCTGGAGCCAGGTAGGTGAGTAGTGCTCAATTAATAATCAACCCATTGTTTTCTTGAGGGCTCTTATGGTATTTTCCACAGAGATATTTGAACTTTAGTTATTGCTTCATTGCCTGTTCCTTCTAACAGCCCTCTTGATTTAACTCTATGCAATCAGGCAGAATACTATCAAGCAGGTGTAAACTGAGGTTCATATAATCTTCCTAAAAATAATACTGGTTTTCCCTTTTTCTCCACAGATGAATAGGGACTACATAAATGAAACCTCATGGAATCCAGCCTGCATTTGCACTGTGGGGGTTGCTGCCATGTTACAGTGCCCACCCTGTGGCAGCTAGGTCCCTGATTGGACATGGCTTTGCCAGCAGAAGAAATGTTTTGTTGCTTGACCCACAGCAGCTCCTATGAATGACAGAATCACTGCTGCAGGACCTAACTTCTACTGGCAAAGCTGTCTACACTACACTAGGTTTTACCAGTAGCACCACCTTATCTACAGAGTGTGATCGTCATATGGCCTTTGCCATACTGGCAGTCTTGCAATGTAGGTAAGAGCCCTGTGATACATCTGTTGGCCCTGTGAATTGGCTTATTTGGTTATCACTTTTTTAAGTGAAGCTTAAGCACCTGCACTCTCAAAGCCCTTCACAACCAATTCTCACCTTGCTCATCGTCTCTCAAGCCATATCAAGCTGTCAGCTCCTGCCTCCTACCCAGCAATTAGACAGCTTCCATCACCCACTTGCTACATTTTCTAACAAGTACCTTCATGCACTTTCATGCTCGCCATAACCATCTGCAAAGTGCCCTCCTTATCATCATCCAAATCCCTCCTTACAACTCTCCAGTGCTGTGATGCCCACAAAAACTTGACCATAGTTAGGCTGCCTATGTGAAGATATTGCTGCCAATAACACTGACTGGTATCATTTCATTCTTTCCTGTATTCCACAGTCTGTCTGCATCCATCTCCTTTTTCCTTTAGTTTTGCTTAGGATACAAGCCCCATGGGGAAGGCACTATCTCCTTGTTCTGTGTTTGTACAGTACTTAGCACAATGAGGCATGGCCCATGACTGGGGCTCTGAGGTCCTACACTATCCTAAATATTGATGTTGATCATTCTGTAGGGAATTTAATAAAATGGAAGTAATCTCAGAGGGCAGAGAAAAGATTCAAGAATACAGAGACCAGCCAATCAGACTTATTTTTAGAACGTGGCCAGTGCCAAAGATAGTGCACTGGACTTGCTGGTGACAGGGTCAGTTATAACACACAGCCTCATCATGCAACAAGGTGGTGAGTTTACTATGACCAGCACTTGGTCCTAGCTCCTTCCATCTACCATGCTAATCATTGCCCCTTCTTCTCCCTCCATCTTTTGTATCTCTCTGTGCAATTTCCCCATCACCTGCCTTATGACTTCAGCACTGGTTTTTGAAATGTGAATCATATATTGGCTCAGAACACTGCAGGATACTTTGGTCCATGTATTTTATGCCAATCATAATTCTTTTAATTAAAGCCATACCCACTGGTATATGCAATCAGGATTTGTAGGTGCGATAAAAAATAAAAATGTACTGAAGCAGAAAGACAGGGGCAGGGGGGCTGGACTTGATCTTCCGAGGTCCCTTCCAGCCCTAATGTCCATTAAATCTATGAAATCTATGATTGCTGTAAACTGATTTTTCTTCCTCTTCCACTAGGACATAGATTGCTTACTGAACATCAGTGAAGGTTTCCAGACTCAGGAAAGTGAAAGGCTTCACCTACCTTCAGGCTTCAAGATTCCTTCCCTGACCAGCCCCACCGGCACCCCAGTTTCCTAAGGACTGATACTATAGCACTTGCTTGCTGAACTAGATGTGTTTAAGGTTCCCAGTTGTTCTGAGGTGTCTAGCAGAAAGCATACAGTGAAAATTGGTAGTGTCAGAGTTGAAATAAGGATCCAGCTGTTACAGGATTCATTCTTTCAGCCCCGTTACAATATTCATGGCAGCACAATGATTTGTAACTTTGGGGGACTTCTGTTTGGATTCCATTGTTTCAGGGAGTTAGGCGGCCTGCTGCCTCTCTGCTCTGTGCCCCACTTAGAAAGACAAGATTGTAAATCTGGACAAAACATGGCTTTTATGCATTGTTTCTCTTTGTTTCTGCATTTAGCTGCTAGAAACCCGCTGGAGCTGCAAAGAACAATGACATAAACAAGTTGGGGGAAAGGAGATGAAACATGAAAAAAATTGGCATTGTCATTCTGTGTCCAAGAAAGTGGAGGAGACAGTTTCATAAATAAGGTCCCTGTGGATATTGACTTTTGAGAGGAGCAGACTGCAGGCAGCGATCTTTCTTGATGTGACACCCTCCCATGACAGTGCCAGGACCCAAGTGAATAAGTACTTTCATTGCTGTGTTTACCAAGATTGCTCTCTATTTTCTTTGTGACTTTACTATCCCTCTGCCCAGCACTTTACTATGGACAACTGCTGTTCTGTTTCT